CCCCCCCCATTTTTTTTAAATGGCAATACAGAGCTTGCACTTTGAAGCACAGATACATACATGGAGTCAAAGCAATACTGTTCTTGTAACCTTCCTAGTCCTGAAATTAAGCGGTCCAAGCCAAGTTAAACTCATGCACAGCTTCTGCCTTCAGCAGGTACAGGAGATAATGTGCCTCACCTCCCCATGTTTCACTAGGAAATGCCGTCTCCTGTTGTGTAACCTACTGGAGTAGACATGGCTCCTGTTGTATGTGTCTGCTCCTGTTGAAGTAGCCACATAGGGATGAGTTGACCTTCAGTACATTTCATGCTTGGAATGAGACCTGGGCTCTACCTAGGCATGGCAGCTGGGGCTGTGTTCACTCCTCCATCCCCCCCCCATTTCACAGCAAAATAATCTAGTAATTACACTCTCAAATTCTGTAGCATGAGCTTGCGCTGGTTCAGTGAATGAGAGCCTATGGTGCCAGAAGCACTTCTATTTTTTTGCCAGAATAGCAACATCTACCTTACTAGGGCTTTGCTAGTACTGCCATACCACTGTAGCTGAAATCAAATGTAGGGAAGGCTTATGACCTCAGATTATTCTGTCTACTACAATCATTAAAATGAAAAAAGACCAAACTTCAGAACCTCGCTTGTTTACTACCAATGAAGTTTTTAATTTGTGACCACTGGAAAGCATTGATCAGTTTAAAAATACAGTCCAAAGTGTTAGCCTAGCTGTGATCAGAGCTACATGAAAAGGAAGGAGATGGGATTCTGGCAACAGAACTTGCCCTGTGCAAGAGCACTCGGCACTACAGCTTTCAGCTGCCCCTTGAGCTGCAGATGCCCCAGCCAGGATGAGAAAATCAGGCCCTCAAACAAACAGCAAGGATGGATTCTTGTAGTAATTTGCTTTCTGGAAGGTAGGTTAGGGAAGAAACAACCAACTGCAACCACCACAACAGCAGGCACTTCACCTCCAGCCAGAAGTTAAACTGGTGTCCAAAACCAGGTGCAATACTAAACAGAGAACATGCTTCCACTGCATCGTCTGGCTCTATGCTAGGAGCTGCTGTTCAGACTGGCGAATACCTGGAGCAGATAGCTGCTTAATGATTCACATCTGAATGGAGAGAAGGCTGCAGAAGTGTTGCTTTCTTGTCTCTAGCTTGTTTCATTGGGCCAGACTTAGTATTGTAGCTCTAAGCCATTTTCAGTATTTTTTTCAGCAGCCGAAGTACCACCCTGAGAACCCCTACTCGGCATCCACCCAGCCCGACAAGAACTGAAAGCTTAAATTTTCAAGCTGCCTCTCTGCGTGTGCCCAGTAATACTCTGATTTTGCTCTAGTGGAGCAGCTCAGCTCTGCTGTGCCAACGGCAGCCCCACAGCCTGGATCTTGTGAAGGTCAAGGGACTCGGGAGGCAGGAGTCCACCAGGCTCTGGCACAGCGCGTGGCTGCAGCAGGCAGGGACATGGCTCTGTGTCTGTGGTTTGGGCTTTTATGCAATGGAGATGCTCCGGGGTTTCAGTCTTTGCGCCCAGCCTGTTGTTCCAGGAATGCTTGCTGAAGAAAGACCTCGCCCAGCTCCCAGCCGCAACGCCCAAGTAAGCATAGCCTGGAGTTAAGCACAACTGAAATTTAAGTTGTGCCTTTTCTTGAAAGTTTTTTCCTTGCCAGCGCCTTATTTAGCATGCTACCCACTGCAGTTCTTTAAGTATTTAACACTTTTTTGTAGATCCAGTCCCCTGCTGTTTTAGCATCTCAGCTTTAGGGTGTGCTACAGACAAGGATAAAGTGAAGAAAGATTGGGTCTAAGGTAGATATTTTATTAAGGTACAGGCCACTCGAGGACAGATATTGAGGCACTTTTGGGAAGGGGATAAGCAACACAAGTGAGAGTAATTCTATGTGCCCTTTTGTAAGTATATAGCTACTGCCTTTCCTCTGCCAGCTGCAAGAGTTCCACTAAAAAGAGGTCGCATCACACGGTTTGGGGTAATTAGACCCTGCAGTTTAGGATTACTTTAACATACTTGAAGATAGGGGGGAAAAAAACCCCTTCCATTTTCTAATTCACACATAGAGCAAGCAGCTTGGCACTCAAGTCTGTAAGAATGCTGTCATCTGAGCTTACCTGCCCTTTGGTGACTTCCACAGGGCCTGTCCCAGCTCTGACCACAGGAATGAGCGTTCCCAGAGGAAAGAGACGCATACGATAAATTTTCTAAACGCGTGGTCAGTGGGGTGGGGGAGAGGACAGTACGAATTCTTGCTGACTTGTCAGATGTGCCAAGACCCTAAAATGGCAATAATATAAAGAAGGGACCAAGCAACCAAAACACACGGTGCAGCTGACACTCCATTAAATGTAGCAATACACCAGATGATACTCAAGGCTTTCACCCCGCCGTGAAAATGCTGAACAAAAGAAAGTCATCTGTTTTCCTTACTACTGCTGCCACCTTCTTCTCACTGCTGTGTGTGGAAGAAGACACTTTTTATTTAATGCCCCATTGGGCTCCTTGTTCCAACAAGCTAGGGACTTCTTCCCTAGCTGGCACGGATTTATTCTTGTCTGTCCTGCGCCCATCTCCCACACTACTACTGAAACAACCATGTACAGAGAAGAGCTAAAAGAACACCTGACCTTCCCCCCGCCCCCAGTTTGTGCACAAGCTATCCAGAACGTCCCAAAAAATCCATCTCTGCTTCAGCGTGCAGGTAGGTACTACTGTGTAACCCGCTGCGTGGCTACAGATGGGGGATGTCCCAAATGTAGGTGCATCATCTTCAGGAAGGAGAGGACGTAGGTCGGGTTAAGAACGGCCCTTCTCCCACAGAGAACATACCCGGAGAAGAAACGGAAGCCATCAGCAGAGCAGCAGGAGAGGGGCAGACCTACCCCGACTTACCAGGCAGTAAAGCAGCCCTTGCCACATAGGAACAAACGGGTACCCTCACAGACTGTGTCACTTGCCAACAAAACACTGTTGTGACACGTGAAATGAAGCAAAACTGTAAACATTCGTGCACATCCGTGACAAAAGGAGCATAAAGACACCTCCTCTCCACGCAAGGGAAGCTCCTGTGAGGCGCCAGGGGAGGGAACTGTGGTGGTGGGAAGGCATACACTTGAGAGTCCATGGTGCGAGGAGGTCCCAGTGACCAGTTCTGGGCACGCAGCACAGCAATAACAGTACCAGCAGGGCACCAGGAAATGGCAAAAAAAGTCAATTCCATTTTGCAACATGGTAAAGTGTTTCTTTTTCTGTTAAGGCCAACCTGCTACCTTTTGCACACGAAAAAAGAGCAATCGATCAACAGTAAAGTCCAGAACTCCAGAGCTGCTGAGTTCAGTCCACAGCAGCAGCACATACGTGACAATCCTTCCTCTCAGTATTCAACTTCACACACACAGAGTTCAAAAATCCAAGCAGTTTTCTAAAAAATCCACTCTCAGAAAAGCTTAAACAAAAAAAATTCCTCAGAATCTGCCAGGTTCTTACTGACTTCCCAGCATTCTGGGATATGGGTGGGATAGGAAAAAGAATATCATAAAATAGAGAATGTGCTTCAGTCTCTTCATTCTCAGATCACTTAAGAACAGGCTTATTAGGAGACACACTCTAGATAAGGTTATTTAGAAATAAAGTACCTTGTCTTTGTGCTTCGTGAAGAGTAAGCTTCCCGTAAGCTCACATTCCGATTTTTACATTATCTCGAGTTCCTTTTCACCCACCTCCATCTGGTCTAAGCCACAGTGCCAGCATGAACCCTCAGAGATGCATCAGTAGTTTTGCCTGGAAAGCCTAAGGTCTTGCCTGCAGAGCTGCCGTACGGACAAGGACAGACACACAAACGCGCACTGAAAGAGGAACACTTGTGGTTGGAGCCGATGTAACTAACGCGTATGACAATACTTAAAAGGTTTCCCTTCACGCACATTTGAAGTGTTGTGACTGCAGGAAGAGGGATTTACTTTTGCCAAAGTAACTTCTCAACGTTTGTGAACTTGTAAATTTAGCTCATTACAGATTCAGAGTTGCAAGAGAAATCGCACTGCGCAACGCTCCCCGTCAGGTCGGGAACAGGGAGATAGAGAAGATGTTTAATGCTGTTTTGCTCAGTTACTAGAATCCACTGCCTTATGTATCCAGGATTCTGTCACAGCCAAGACCAAGTTAGGACTAAATACACTCTGTGCTTAACCTGGGAAAGACGATACAGACCGCAGCATGATACAGAACAACATAGTGTTTAACCTTTGAATTGCGCAGGAGACGTTGGCCTCACTGCCACGCAGTTTTGCTGCATCGTTGCTGAATATACCCTGGTGTCAGAGTACTGATCAGAACGGCACCGTGTCCAGCATGAATTTTGCACCTCCGGTAACTCAAGGGCGGCAGTAAAGTGGACCGGGCAGGAGCGGAGCAAATGGATTCTCAAACCTGCAAATGGCAGTGTCCCTCCCACCCTCCTGGGCAGCCGAAGTGCCGTCCTGCACCTCTCCCCCAGGAACACCAGGATGCTCAGAGACAACACAGCTATAGAGAGGCAGCATCTTTACAGGGTGGGGCTCCAGTAAATGTCAGGGGCCAAAACCGGTGTGAGCAAAGAGGTAAGAATAAGCACTCTCCCACTGGGGCTTAGGAGGAACCTGCGAGGTTACGAGGAGCAGTGCTGTACCTGAGAGGAAGCTGAGACAAAAGGGAGACCAGCCTCTCGCTACAGGACTCAGGTTGGCTAATGTTTGTTGGGGAGGGCTCGGGCGCGTGACGGGAAGTGACAAGACAGCACAGCTGCAATAGCGGTCAGTCTGAGAAGCCAAAAACTCCAGGGGTTGGAAGCAGCTGGCTCTCCCCTTCCCCTGGGGATTCTCTGTTCCAGTTCCTAGAGTACGAGCACCCCTTTCTTCAGCACCTGCACTTAAGTTCTTAAATTTGCAGATTTTTTTTTTTTTTTTTTAAAAATACCCCTGTACTTTAATCACGAAAAACCAGTCCCCGCCCCAATTCTACTAAAAACATGATTGTCCATAGCTGGAGGCTTATTGTACGACCTCACCCCATCACCATTAAGTTACTCAAATGTCCAATTAAACAGCAGGCAGCTCAACCTTTAGGTAACACAACTACAAAAATCGGACCGTGCTCTCTTCTCTCTCCCCCCTCCTCCTCCTCCTCAAGAGAGCTCCGTTACTTTTTTCTAAGCGCCAGCGCTACTCCGACTGCTACAGCTAATATAGCTACTGCAGCAGCCCCACCGTACAGCAATATAGATTTCCCTTCCGGCAGTAAGATAGGCTTCTCCTCTGCAGCGGAGGATTTCTCTTCTATTTCTTCCAAACGGCCCTCTTTCCCCACTTTTTTTTCCCCTGGAAGCAGTATTTTCTCAGGTTCTGGTGAAGCCTTTTCTTCTGATGGGGCTAACTTTGGGACAGGTTTACTTAATATGGGGATTTCAGGTTCAACAAGCTCTTCAGCCACTTTTCCCTTTTCCTCCTGTTTTGTATGCAGAAGTGCAGAGGGATGTGCTTTTTCAACAGCAGCAATTTCAGCTTGAGGTTTTACTTCCTGTAAAGAAGCAGGGGTTTCTGGAAACGCTGCCTGCGTGGTCTCTGCAGCGACGGCTGACACCACTGCTTCTTCAATCCCCTCCGGTATCTCTTCCTTCTCCACGTGAACAATATCTGAGTTGGAAGAGTTGTTCTCACTCCTTTCTTCAGCCCCTCCGTTGCTGTCCAGGCTTTTGACTTCTTCAGGATCCATGGCCACTTGCTGCCAGGACTCAGGTCCCAGGGAGACTGGCAGGCTCTCTGTGTGCCAGCTCTGACTCGCTGACAGGGAGACGGGCAGGCTCTCCGACTGCCACGATGTAGTCACTGTTGGGGACTCTGGGGGGCTCACCTGTCCCGAGTTGTCACTGGTCAGGATGTAGATGTCATTACTGTCCTCTGCGATGAGCCCAGGGTACTCTTCCTCTTCGGATTCCAAAGTAAAGACCGTCCCCTGCGAACGAAAAGGAGGACACAACACGTGAGCGATGGCTTCAGCATTACCTCCCCTGCACGGGAAGGAACAGGACACCTGGAAACTTAGTGGGGCTGGAAGAAAGATGAGAGGGCCTCTGCAGGAGCAGCAATTGTCTGACCTACATTTTAGAAGAGATTACAAAACCCAGCTGGTCCAGCTGACGTTTCCAGAGAATGGAACCACTTATAAGAGCTTTCCTGGGAGCTCCTCCTTTCCCTGACATTACTGCATCGCAAGTACCTCACCAAAACTTACCATGTGGGCACTATTAACCAGAGAACAAGATACCAAAGCCTGAAACCAAACTGAAACAAAAAAAAGAAAAAGAAAGAAAACACAAGTACATGAGCCCAGCTGAATACCACTCCCTTCTCCATTTTGTGCAAGTTCTTTGTATTGCTTGTCCATTTTCATCTAACAGTGTTTCTCTTACTTTAACTTTATCACATTTCCAGTGCTATCTGAAGCCTGTATTTCTACTTTGTACCAACAAGCTGGAATCTACAGTAATTCTAGTATTTTACTACAAACAAATTTAGCTATTCTTAAATGAGTTCACTTTCCAAGACTGTCATCATAACTTCGGCTAGACAACTTAAGTTAAAACAAAAAACTGAGCACAGACATCCAAAGATGCTGACAGGGTTTGCTTGTTTTATTTAGCTAGGAAAAATCTGTGGGCATACTAAAAATTTGACAGTGGGCTCCAGTTAGAGAAACTGCACCGATTCCCTCCTTACAGAAAGAACAGTATTGTCGATCCTAGTTATGCATGGACTGCTGAGTACGTAACACAGGAAAGATTTGCTTCAAGGGGAAAGAGGAAAAAAAATTCAAGTGCGGAAGAAAAACCTAAGATGGGTGTGATATCAAGAACGTAAAAACAAGAGATAGGGGCAGAGAGGAACCCCAGAGTTTGATATTCCATAGAGTAGAAGTCTGTGAAACCATTAGCAAAGATTCAATTACTTTCTTGCTCTTAACAAAAATTATTTGAACATTTTATCAAGTACTGCAGTGCTGGGAGCCCCTTCTGTGCAAATTCCTCGTTCCATTATCAAGCTTTCCTGTACAGTCCCATCATAACATGAAGAAAAAAATTTTAAAATCCATTCGTTCTCTTTCTCCCTGCTCCCTTCCACATGCAATAGTTCTCCTAAAGCACTCCAAGCAGTTGTCCCCCTCTTTTTTAAACCCTTCCCGACACCTGTGAATTTGGGGGTTGGTTCTGCTCCAATCTCCTACCGATGGTTCCCCATTCCAAGTCATCTCCTCGGATTTTCCACAACTTTTTATGGATCCACGCAGTGGTCTATGTCAGGAACTGATCCAAGTTAAAAGCAAACACATTCTTTATTTTGCTGAGTTGTTTTTAACCCTGACCAGTGTCCAGTCTGGCCCACTGAGATGCCCCAGCGTGCGAGCGCGACCGGGGGTGGAGCAGGGCCAGCAGCTGCACCTGCTCGCACTGATGCCAAAAGAGCAGAATTGATACCAGTGCCCTGCTTAGAGAGTAGAAGGAAAATGCATTTCAGCTTCGGTACCTCCCACTTATCACTTAGTTCCTAATATGCAAGGAGTTCAGGGCCTACAAGTCAATGGTTTCTACCTCTGAGTAGGCACACTCACAGAGCTCGTAGTGCCTGGGCCAGTAGCAATGCACTTTTCTCTCAGGGAAGCACAAGAGGCCCGGGCTCTCCAGAGACACGGGTGTACTCTCCACAGAGACACCAGAAACGCTGCAACTCCTCACTTCCCTAGAAGGGGGAAGGATCTCCACACACACACAAAAAACCCACCAAAACACCAAAACGCAAGTTGGCAGGCACAGGAGAGACAGCACAAACACTGCTGGTCATTGGCAGTAGCTGCAGTGAGAGCAAATGAAGCGGGAGTGGACCCCTGCGAAAGCACTAAACTGGCACTTGAGAGAGCTGTGCAACTTACGGCAGTAACGCTTTAATCTTTCATGGTGAAAATTATTACCGTACCAATAAACTTTGTGAAAAGGGGTCAGTGGAGCCTGATTTGAGCATGGGAGTGAGGTTTCTCTGTCCACTCCCCCAAAACACTTTGCTATTTTGCAAAACTCAATGGACCCATTCCTGGAGACTTTTGTACAACGGTGGAGGCTGTAGTACAGGACAGTACTGGGAACATACGGATTTCGTAATGTATTCTGGCAGCAGTGGGATGGAAATTTCATCTTCTCAGCCCATAGAATTTTGGAAGATATTTGTGCACGAGCAAAGGAATCTCCTAGAACACTGCAAAAGGAACTTTTCTTCATGAATGCCTTTAAATTGCTTGGGTATGGGAAATATCATCCAGCTCAGTAACATGTTCAGAAACTCTAAAGAGAGATGATGCACAGAGTTTGTCAGGGGAAGGGTTAAAAGTGATCAAGCCGTTCACTAGCCACTTCAGGATCACCACAAAGTCTTGATTCAGAATTAAATAAAAATTAATAAAGCATTTCATTTGTGAAAATGTTCAGACACCACACACACATGCCAACAAACCCAAAGCAAGGTCTGCTCTGCAAGCAGCGACTGACAATTCAAGACTCCAGTACCCACTTGAAAGTCATGTTTCACTAGAAGAACTAGATTTTTTTTGAAATGCAGCTCAGGCCATTAAAACAGAACGGAGCTCTACAACCTAGGAGGAAGCAACCAGCATTGCAAAGTAAGGGCGATGGAAAAGAAAAGCCAAGAAACTTAAGCAAAGGCAGAGGCTACCAGATCTAAAGAGACCAAATACTGAGCAGTGTGGGCCAGGGCTGCTCCGCAGCACGTGAGGACAGGACTCCACACGCAGCACCGACCTCCCCTGCTCCAGCAGAGGCTCGAGAGCAGCACAGCAGCGAGTCAGTCACTGTGGTTAGCTTCCACCTCAGCCCTGTGCTGAGGATGGAGAGGCAGCCCACTGCCCAGACACTCTGAGATCGTACATTTGCTCCTTTGATCATCAGGATTTTCTCTGGATGTTGATTAAGTAGGAAATATTCTCATTGTAATATAAGCTACTAACAGATACCTAGGATCATAGCAAATTTTTTATTTCCACAGGCAATACAAACTCAGAACAACGGCAATTAAACAACAAAATAACTAGGGGTAAAACCTGCAATCTCATGAACCTCTATACTACCCTCCACTCTGCTCAGCTCTACCCTTCCACAAATCACAATGAATTTATTTCCCATCCACAGCACATCACAACAAACCAGACTATGCCTGTGATCTGACGCTAGCAAAAAGAACAGGGACACACACAACTGATAACAGCTCTTCTCTTAATATACCACTGGAAGTGCACCCATGCTGCTGTGACTGCTTCAACATGAAGCATATAAAAAAACCCCACGCTATGCTTCTACGGACTTGTGAGCTCTGGCGATTGTAGCAAACTTCTTTTCAGTAATGAACTAAACAAAGCGCCAACTAGGGCCATATTCAGATGGCCTAAATTCCCCTGAAGTTGTATACTGTAGAGTGGCGAAAGCCAAGTGCCTTTGAGCAGTGACTCAGCGTGCTGGTTTTGGCTGGGATAGAGTTAATTTTCTTCATAGTAGCCAGTATGGGGCTGTGTTTTGGATTCGTGCTGGAAACAGCATTGATAATACAGGGATGTTTTAGTTACTGCTGAGCAGTGCTTACACAGAGCCAAGGCCTTTTCTGCTCCTCACCCCATCCCACCAGCGAGGAGGCTGGGGGTGCACAAGAAGCTGGGAGGGGACACAGCTGGGACAGCTGACCCCAACCGACCAAAGGGATATTCCACATCATATGACGTCATGCTCAGCATACAAAGCTGGGGGAAGAAGAAGGAGTGGGGGGACCTTCGGAGTGATGGCATTTGTCTTCCCAAGTAACCGTTACACGTGATGGAGCCCTGCTTTCTTGGAGATGTCTGAACACCAGCCTGCCGATGCGAAGTAGTGAATGAATTCCTTGTTTTGCTTTGCTTGTGCGCGTGGCTTTTGCTTTACCTATAAAACTGTCTTTTTCTCAACCCACAAGTTTTCTCACTTTTACTCTTCTGATTCTCTCCTCCATCCCACCACAGGGGAGTGAGCGAGCGGCTGCGTGCTCAGTTGCCGGCTGGGGTTAAACCACGACAGTCCTTTTTGTCGCCCAACATGGGGCTCAAAGGGTTTGAGATAACGACAGATTTGATTGGAATATGCTAGATCGAATTTATAGTATTACTGCTGTTTAGCTATTAATTTGCAGGCTTCTGTGCTTGCCATGG